CTAAAGCTTTTTTTTTTTTTTTTTTTTTAATGCTAGAGTAAACTGAGAAACCCAGTTGGAACTGAGCTATGTAGCCCATTTAACGTAAGCTCCACCCCTCATACACAAATTTGGTGGAACCAGAAATCATTAGTCTCCTCAAATACTCATCACAAAATAGTATTTGCTAGGACTGTGTAAAGTAGAAAGCTATTAGCATTAAGGACCAATTTAAGCAGGTTTTATTTTTATTTCTTACTGTGTGCATTTGACTTAAACTGGGAATTAGCTTTAAAAAAAAAAAAAAAAAAAAAAAAAAAAGTGTGATAAATATTTTAAATAACTACCTTTATAAGTCTGTTTACCCTTTTCTTTTTGGTTTGTATATAGGATGTTAAATTTCCTCTTATGTTGGATGTGTATGAACTGTGTACACCAGAACTTCAAGAGAAAATGATTTCTTTTCGATCAAAATTCAAGGATCTGGAAGATAAAAAAGTAAATCAGCAGCCAAAGACAGTAGGTTCTTATTGGTCATTTTCTAATCTTAATATGTTTATCTTTAATCAGTGCCCAGTATTCATTTTATATTGTTAACCTATTAGTAAAAATGGATGAACCTGTGTTTAGCATATATACAAATCTTGCAGATATTGGTGCAAGCCCTTAAAGTTTTAGGTGTGTTTTAGCATAAGAAAAAGAACTCTAGCTATGCTAAATGGGTCCTTTATGGTAGAATAAACTTAATATTTTCTTTTCCCATAAAAATCTTCAGCTTATATTCCTTTTATATCAATATTTATTTCCTCAAAGCACTTCACGTAAAACCTTGCCTTGTATAATTCAGAGTATTTTATTATTTTCCTTGTAAGGCATCTCCATTTTTTAAAATGGAGTTAGTGTTATCGAATATTGCTTCATTATGCCCACTGTGACAACTTAAGTCATATCTTTTAACAAGCACCTATAACTGTTAAAATTATAACCGTAGCAACTTTATATTTAATAAATTGTATATTTTAAATTCAGAGAAGGGACAGCTGAATTATATGTTGGATTGTTTTCTTCAAAAGGAAAAGGATATTTCCTGGTAAATAGGAATATTTCCAGTGTGATATTATATACCAAATTTTAAAATTAAATTCTTCTGCAGGTTACTCTGTGTGTGTGTTAAAAGTATTTTTTAAAAAATTAAACTTTGAGATAATTGTAGAATCACATGAAGTTATAAGAAATAATAGAGTTCCTGAGTACCTTTTACCTAGTTTCTCCTAGTGGTAACATCTTGCAAAGCTGTAATACAATATCACAACCAGGATACTGACTTTGATGTAGTCTAGATGCAGTACATTTCCTCTGCCACAACGATCCCTCATGCTGCCCCTTTGTAGCCAAAGCCATTCTCCTTTCCTCCTACCCCCTTCTTTTTTAAAAAAAAATAAATTAATTAATTTTTGGCTGTGTTGGGTCTTTGTTGCTGGTGCAGGCTTTCTCTGGTCACGCGCGGTGACTGGGGGCTCTTTGTGTGGTGTGCGGGCTTCTAGTTGTGGTGGCTTTTCTTGTTGCGGAGCATGGGCTCTAGGCGTGGAGGCTTCAGCACTTGTGGCTCACAGGCTCAGTAGTTGCGGCGTGTGGGCTTCAGTAGTTATGGCTTGCGGGCTCCAGAGTGCAGGGTCAGTAGTTGTGGCGCACGGGCCTAGTTGCTCCGCGGCATGTGAGATCTTCCCAGACCAGGGCTCAAATCCGTGTCCCCTGCATTGGCAGGCAGATTCTTAACCACTGCGCCACCAGGAAAGTCCATTTCTTGTACTTTGGTTAAATTTATTTGTAACTTTTTGTAAATGGCATAGTTTTTAAAAATTTCATTTTTGCATTCATTGCAGTTAATTTTTGTATATTGATCTTACATCCTCTACTCTCCTGAATTGGTTTATTAGCTGTTTTTTTCTCTTATTTTTTTTGAAAGAGATTGTGTAGAATTGGTGTTAGTTCTCTTCTAAACGTTTGGTAGAATTGTCTTGGTCAGACAGTCTTGGCCTGCAGAGTTCTTTTTCAGGAGTTCTTTTTTTTTGTGGTACGCGGGCCTCTCACTGTTGTGGCCTTTCCCCTTGCGGAGCACAGGCTCTGGACGTGCAGGCTTAGCGGCCATGGCTCACAGGCCTAGCCGCTCTGCGGCATGTGGGATCTTTCCAGACCGGGGCACGAACCCGTGTCCCCTGCATTGGCAGGCAGACTCTGAACCACTGTGCCGCTAGGGAGGCCCTTTTTCAGGAGTTTTTAAATTAAAAATTCAACTTTATCGTTATGGGCTATTCAAATTTATATCATATTGGGTATGTTTTGGTAGTTTGTGGTTTCGTGGAATTGATCCATTTCATCTAGCTTGTCAATTTTATGTGTGCACAGTTGTTCCTAGGATGATGATTATTCTGATGTTTGCACGGCGTGTAGCGACATCTGTCCCATTTCATTCCTGATATTGTAAATTTGTGTCTATTTTTTCTCTTTGTCAGTCTTGCTAGAGGATTGTCAATTTTATTGCTCTTTTCAGAGAACTAGCATTTCGTTTCATTGATTTTTCTCTATTTTTCTGCATCTCGTTTTATTGATTTTTACTCTTACTATTTCCTGATTTCTGCTTGCTTTGGGTTTATTTTCTTCCTCTTTTTCTAGGTCCTTATGGTGTGGGTACTTAGATCTTTTATTTCAGACTTCCTGTTTTCTGATGTGTGCATTTAGTGTTGTAAATTTCCTCTTAGCAGTGCTTTCAGATTGTATCCTACAAATTGTTGTATTGCATTTCTATTTTCATTATGTTTCTTGTATTTTTAAAAAATTTGAGACTTCTCTTTGACCTTGGATCATTTAGAAATGTCTTGTTTAATTTACAAGTGTTTGGAAAATTTCCTGTTATCTTTTTGTTACTGATTCTAGTTTGAGTCGATTGTGGTGAGAAAACACCCTCGTGTGATTTAAATTCCTTTAAATTTGTTGAGTTTTGCTTTATGGCTCAGGATGTGATCTATCTTGGTAAATGTTCCATGGGCACTTGAAAAGAATGTGTATTTTACTGTTGTTGAGTATTATGTGATGTTGATTAGATCCAGTTGGTTGATGGTGTTGCTTTTTCCTGTAACCTTGCTGTTTTTCTGTCAGTTGTTGAAAGAGGAGTAGTGAAGTCTTCAACTAAAATTGTGGATTTGTATGTTTCTCCATTCATTCAGTGCTGTTAGCTTTTTGCTTTTCATGTTTTGTAACTGTTATTTGGTGCATACACATTTAGGATTTGCTCTGTCTTCTTGGTGGAGTGATTCTTTGATTATTATGCAGTGTCGCTCTCGGTTTGTGGTCATTTTCTTTGTTCTGTAGTCTACTTTATCTGATAATAATATTGCCACTGCTGCTTTCCTTTTGTTAATGTTTTGCATGATACATCTTTTTCCATTCTTTTTTTTTTTTTTGGCGGTACACGGGCCTCTCACTGTTGTGGCCTCTCCCGTTGTGGAGTACAGGCTCCAGATGCGCAGGCCCAGCGGCCATGGCTCACGGGCCCAGCTGCTCCGTGGCATGTGGGATCTTCCCGGACCGGGGCACGAACCCGTGTCCCCTGCATTGGCAGGCGGACTCTCAACCACTGCGCCACCAGGGGAAGTCCCTTTTTCCATTCTTTTACTTTAAATTTGCCCATGCTATATTTGAAGGTAGTTTCTTATAGACAGCATATAGCTGGGTCATGTTTTTTTTGTTTTTTTTTTTTTTTGCAGTATGCGGGCTTCTCACTGTTGTGGCCTCTCCCCCGTTGCGGAGCACAGGCTCCGGACGTGCAGGCTCAGCAGCCATGGCTCACGGGACCAGCCGCTCCGCGGCATGTGGGATCCTCCCAGACCGGGGCATGAACCCATGTCCCCTGCATCGGCAGGCGGACTCTCAACCACTGCGCCACCAGGGAAGCCCTGGGTCATGTTTTTTAATCCTATGTTAACCTGTCTTTTTATTGGTACATTTAGACCATTTACATTTCATGTAATTCTTAATATGTTAGTGTTTGAATCTATTTTATATTTTGCTGTTTGTTCTGATTTTTGTTTCTGTTTTCCCTTCTTGTAGGTTACATGAACATTTTTTAGAATTCTAGTTTATGTATAATTTTTTTTTTGAAGAATTTGATTTTTAAAAAATTTATTTTATTTTTGGCTGCATTGGGTCTTTGTTGCTGCACACAGGCTCCCCCTAGTTGCGGCAAGCAGGGGCCACTCCTTGCTATGGTGCGCGGGCTTTTCATTGCAGTGGCCTCTCTTGCCATGGAGCGTGGGCTCTACGGCTTTCGCGCTTCAGTAGTTGTGGTGCACGGGCTCAGCAGTTGTGGCTCACGGGCTCTAGAGTGTAGGCTCAGTAGTTGTGGCACATGGGCTTAGTTGCTCCGCATCATGTGGGATCCTCGCGGACCAGGGCTCAAAACCATGTCCTCTGCATTGGCAGGTGGATTCCCAACCACTGCACCACCAGGGAAACCCATGTGTAATGTTTTTTAATGTGTTTCTTTGTATAGCCTTTTTTTGGGTTGCTCTAGGTGTTAAAAATATATAAAGGAATGGTTGACCTAATTGCCTTTCTTTGTTGTAAGATCCTTTGGCTTCTTGTCACTTTAGCTATCTTTTAAACTGCTTGCATTGTCTTCATTATCATTATAGTCTTCAAGAACTTTGTGTCCATATGCCTAAGTAAGTTTTTTTTTTTTAATTTTTATTTTATTTATTTATTTTTGGCTGTGTTGAGTCTTTGTTGCTGCACGTGGGCTTTCTCTAGTTGTGGCGAGAAGGGGCTACTCTTCCCTTCGGTGCGCGGGCTTCTCATTGTGGTGGCTTCTCTTGCTGCGGAGCACGGGCTTTAGGCACGTGGGCTTCAGTAGTTGTGGATTGCGGACCCTAGAGCACAGGCTCAGTAGTTGTGGCTCACGGGCTTAGTTGCTCTGTGGCATGTGGGATCTTCCTGGGCCAGGGCTCAAACCCGTGTCCCCTGCATTGGCAGGCAGATTGTTAACCACTGCGTGACCAGGGAAGCCACTGCTTAGTTGTTTTTATATTACACACTGAAATGGGTTGAGGCAAGAGAGTTCCCACTGAAGATCCTTGTCTAAAGTTGTAAATCATGCCTCTTAATTTAGGTAAATACTTGCTGAATTAAATATTTCAGTTCATTTGAGCTGAAGTGGCAGGTGGCTGTGGCTTAGCAGATATAATATTAATTGCAGTAATTCAACTTCTTTTTTTTGAGGCAGGTTTTCTTTTGTTTTGTCTTCACCTATATGGTTTGATAGTGTTCTGGAAAAGTTGCAGAATTGGGTTTTCTTTTTCTACCCTAGAGCAGTGTTTATCTGTACTCTGTATTCACTGGTGTGCTCTAGGTTTAGTGGTTTGAAGTTGGTTCTGTAATCAGGATCTCCTGCTATACATATGAGACTGTATGTTGTTAAAGAGTAGGACTTTTGGGTTTACAGTTTTATGTTAACTGTAGCTGTATCATTTGAGCAATTTGTAAGGCAGATCATATTTTTTCTTTGTCTTGCCTTGGTGATTTGCATTATAGACAGTAAATATTTGTGGAGATGGATACTCATTGAGAATATAAATTTTATTTCCAATATCATGAAAACTTAAAATTAAAATTTTTTTCCCCTCAGAGTGACAAAAAGAGTAGTCCCCCAAAAGAAGTTAAGTATGAACCCTTTTCTTTTGCTGATGGTAAGTGAAATCTTCATTTGAGTTTTACTGTGTGTAGTGTTTTTTTTTTTTTAAGGTAAAATTAGTCTTTCCACATATCTGTTTTTTTCAGATACTGTGCTTTAAAAAAAAGTTGTTTCTTATAATTTACTGTAGTATGACATAGTAAAAAAAATCACTTTTTAGTGAATATATGTTCTATGAATGGTAGCATACTTCTTAAAACATCTTTCATGAACCTTTAATTGGACAGTAGTATCTTATTGGATTTTAACAATAAAGTAGTACTTCTCTAGGCTAAACTTGAGTTGTTCTTGCTTGTTACTAAGCTTGAGAAAGCACATATCTGTTCATTTCTAATATTACTGGGTTTACATCTTTCTTTAGACATTGGCTCCAATAATTGTGGATACTATGACTTACAAGCAGTGCTAACACATCAGGGAAGATCTAGCTCTTCAGGGCATTATGTATCATGGGTGAAAAGGAAACAAGGTAAAGATTCTGTTTTTTAAAATTGTTTCATACTATTTTGATAAGTTGTTTAGATTTTTAGCACATTTGTTCTCAAACTTTTTGATCTCAGAACTCCTTTTGTATTCTTAAATTATTGAGGATCCCAGAGAGCTTCTGTTTATGAGGATTCTCTTAATATTTGCTGTAATAGAAATTAAAACTGAGAAGTTAATTCTTGTAAAACTAACAGTAATGAAGTCATTACATATTAACATAAATAACATTTTCAAAATAAAAATTACAATCTTTTCCAAAACAAAAAAAGGCAAAAAATGATATTGATATACATTTTTCTAAGTCTGTTTTGTTAGGCTTATTAGGAGACAGCTGGAATTCTCCTGTTTCTGCCTTTAGTCTGCTGCTTTATCACACATTGTGTAACCTCTGGAGAATTCCAAAGCACACTTCACAGAATGAGGGGGAAAAGGGAAATAATGCAAGCAGGAGTGTTGTTGTAACCTCCATGGAACCCCTGAAAAGATCTTGAACCTGAGTTGTCCCTGGACCACTCTTTGAGAACTGTTGGTATGGCAGATGGAATACTACTGTACATAAAATTACTCAGTACCTCTTTTGCAATGGAACTCTGAAAAAATCATATTTGAGATTAATTTCATTCTTCTCTTTTGCACTTTAGATGAATGGATTAAGTTTGATGATGATAAGGTCAGCATCGTGACACCAGAGGATATCTTGAGGCTTTCTGGTGGTGGAGACTGGCATATAGCTTATGTTCTACTCTATGGGCCTCGCAGAATTGAAATAATGGAAGAGGAAAGTGAACAGTAATCTTCATTTTAGCTATTTATGCTTAGGTGTGAAATAAATGTTGTTTGTTGATCATTTCTATAACCCAGAGCTTTAAAGGAAGATTTTTAGGTGGTTTTACATGTTTCCCCTCATGTGGAACAAAAGAGGGCAGAAGCAGACCAGTCTGTGTTATCAACCTAAAAAATAACAGAAAAGAGAAAATTGCCTTTGGACTGTGCTGCCCTAATAAAGATGACAGGAAGACATTTTTAAAAAGCTTATTTCTTGGATTAATTTTTAAAAATTATGAGTTGAAATGCCTTTCAACCATTACCTTCTGTGATAATTTTTCTTCCTGTCTTTTTCAGCCCAAGATTCAGCAATCAGATGTTTATTGCACACCTATTACTCTATTATTTGTTGTTTTTGCATGGTTCAAACCACCAGTGATTCAGTAGCTGCCCATCCTTTGCATTATCTAACAAAAATTTTGCCAGGACGGTGGAAAGGAAGTTAAGTGTTGATCTCATTGTGTAACTCAGTGCTGCTGTCCATCCCATGGAAACATGGGTACAATCAAGTATTTGTCCAGCCTGACTGTTGCTGGCTTTTCATGACTTTAAAATAAATTGTGATCAATAATAGTACATTTGATTATACATTTATTACTGTGTCTCTGATGTACTAGGTTTGTACATTTAACTTTGCAATGGTTTTGTAGTAATCAACCTTAAAAATAATGTTGACAAGCTCCAGTTGCTTATTTTTAGAAAATTAGGATATTTAATAAAAAAAACAAAACAAAGAGGGACTAACAGCGTTTGACCTCAAGTCTTTTGTCTGTTGAGTGTTGGAGCTTGGCTGAAGTTCAGATATGTTTACTACTATTACAGTTTCTGCAGATGGTTAAACTATGCTCTTAAGCATCCATTTAAAAATAGTCTTCTTTGCCTGCTAGCATAATATTGTTTAAAAAGGAATAGAGTTGTAAAAGTAATGGAGTTCTTTGGATGCTGAATGCAACCATGTTATCAAATCTGTACCTTGGCTCAGTTGGGTGTTTATTTCTACTCCCGTCAACTCCCAAATTCTTAATGTCTATCAATCAGAATTTAGTACCAATGATTTTTAAAGTGATGGTAGAAATACCAGAGTATGAGATATCTCAATATATGGTATGTTTCTTCCATTTTAACACTCTAGTTGATTCATTTTTGTTTTAGGAGCCTTGCTTGGTTGCAAAAGGGTAGAGTATCAGCTGACTTGTCTGATTTCCTTTGAGTTAGATATTTATAATAAAGTTTTGGGGATTATCGTGAAACCTCATCTTTGCTTTTGCTGTTTTAATGCTCTGCAGAGCATAGTAGTGATAACTATTAGATTCTTAGAGAATAATGGCCATTTCCTCTCAAGTTTGAACAATGTAATATAATCTAAGAACACTAGGGGATAAAATAAGCATTTCAGGAAAATTTATTTGTAAATAGCTTCTTCAGCTAAGCTTTAATAATTGGCAATCAGTACTCCTTTTGCCTTGGAGGGGGTATAGCATAGAATAGGGAGGATGAGACCATAAGAATTGTAATGATTCTTTTATATATTGGTGTGATGCTTGTAAATTTGTGAAGTTTTTTTATTCACTAATTTTGTTCTGAACAATTTTGAGGACACCAATTTAGGAATTAGAATTCAGATTTTACGATTTGGAGGATGCTGTAGCTACTAGATCAGGTAGGGTTAGAACAAAGTATATAAGCCTTGTATGGAATTAGCATTTTAAATTATAATTCCTTAACTGTCATTACAAAACACTTCCTTTTATTTGATCCAGAAAAGCATTATAAAGTATAAGAAATTGGACTTATACTAGTGTTGTTTTAAACTATTTAGGCTATTTTAGAATTCAGCCTTTCATATAAGATCTTGGAAAAGAGAATAAGCAAGAAAATGTCTTGATTGATTCCTGAGCGTGCCTTATGTGCTGTGCCCCTCGCACTGAGGCCCTTTTGATATTAGAGCTGTGCTGGATCACTGTTGGACTAGTGAGTGAGGTGAAGCCCCAGCAAGAATATTTTTAGTGACAGGCACTTAGCCCTCCTTCCAGATTCAAAACAATGACCGTAGTGCCCTAAAGGGTAACTTATGTGGGAATGGAAACTGTCTCCAGCCATGATGACTACATAGTGCTTTGCTGTTTGTAGGATGCTTTCACATACATCTCATTTGAACTTCACAACAATCCCTGAGGTATGTATCCCTATTTTAATGACTTGAGAGCTTAAAATAAGTTCTCTAAGGCTAAATGAACTACATTTTAGACTTCACCCCATTTCTTTTAAAGTTGGGGGTTGGAGAATATTTTCTGCCATGGGCCAGGTATTTAAAAAATACGTTTTAAGCTTTGCAGGCCATAAGTCTTTGTTGCAACTGTGTAACTTTGCTGTTGTAGCATGAAAGGAGCCATAGACAGTACTTAAAAGAATCAGCATGGCTGTGTACCATTAAAATTTTACTTATAAAAAGAGGTGACAAACGGACCATTGTTTGCTGATCCTCTGCTTTAAAGCATAGATGAGACTAGAGCAGTCATATGGTTTCAGAAAGTATTACTCTGGGATGTTCCAGGATAGCAAGTTAAATTCTGTAACTGCTAATGGAATGCAGGAAACCAGTTTGGCATAGTGTATCTTAGGAAACACCATGCCCCTAAATATTGCTTACTGACTTTATAAATGTTTAATTAACAAAAATATTATGTGACCTTGAGGTCACTTTACTTTGGCCATTTCCCCAACCTACCCCCTTGTCCCCCCCAGACCCTGAGGTCAGTCATCAAGAGCCACCATGCATTCTGTTGTTCTTGGAGCACCAGCCAACTGTACAACTGTTATAAAAATGTTTATTGTTTACCAAAACCAGTGAACCTCTTATCAAATGCTGCTTGGTAACAAAAGCTTATCACAGTTTTAATAATAAAAAAAAAAGCTAACTATTTGTCTCATTGTCATTAGTTAGACTTTCTGCAAGGTCACTTAACCCAGACTTGTTGAGTGCATTGATTAGGTTCTCAGGTGTCGCGTGCACTCCCTCCTGATCCTGCCAGGCGACTAGCAGCTGCTTAGCTCTCATCTTCATGTCTTCACTGTCACACTCAATCTGTCTAATTTCTGAGTCTTTCATTTCCAAGTAGGGGGCCAGAATCTTCCATTGTTCACCCAGTTTATTGGCAAATACCTCTATTTGGTCCCCTGTTACAGGTTTGTCTCGCCGAACATCAGGACCTAGAAAACACAGGAAACAAATTATGAACAAAGTACGAGGATGTGTACGATTCAAAATATAAAACGGAATATGGGGCCACTGAGATATTAGTCACTTTTAATAAGCTTTATTTTAAAAGTACAACAGTTCCTTTTTATACTTTCCACGGGTTGAATTACCATTCTTATGATCATTAGGGACTCAATCAAAGCTAAAGCTGTTGCCTCTATTAAAATTAGGAAGGCTTCTGAAACCAGCGGCCCCCAATCTAAACCCCAAGAATTAACAGAGGTATGAGTTGCCTTCAAATGTAAGTACTTTTCTTCCCAACACTTCCAAATTTTACTGTATAAAAGGTACTATTTTAAAAGTTATTATCAAGCAATGTTTTAGATTCCTCACTATAAGAAACAGCTGAGAAAAATGGGAGAAGTTGAGAAGTAGATCAAATAACGTACCTCTCAACAAAGAACCCCAATCTTTTCCAATTTTGTAAAATAGCCAAGAAAATTCAATTCTTACTTTCATTTTCCTTCAGCAAAGCATCATTATCTTCCTCATCTTCATCCTCACCTGTTTTTATTTCTTCGGAAGGAGGCTAAAATGAGTAGAACAATGTTTTAAAAGAATACCAACTTCTAAAATCAGATAACTGCGGATACTTTCTATTTAGGTATGAGATTCCAATTACGGGGCCCAGAACTTTACCCTTGAGAGTGTTAAATGTGAATGTCAGGTAAGGATCGCCGTGGGACAGTGTTAACCTGGAGAAGGAGGGGCGGGCGGGGAAGACTGAAGGTTGGAAAGACTCTTACTCCAACCTGGGAAGAAGGGAGCCAGTAAGAAGTATGGTAAGATGACTTGCAAGTACTCAGCATATGGTAACAATGGTCTACGGAAGACTGGGGGAGCAACCATGTCCTTAACATTTTTTTTGAGTAATTTTATTCAGATTTATGCATACAGTATAGTTATTACCATATTGTATTGGAAAAGAGTAGAAAGATAGGCCAAGCTGCCTACCACTACCCGCTGGGCCTACCTTTGATAAAATATAAGGCATTGGCACACAGAAAAAATAAAGTATAATAATTTTTATATAAAGTTACTTTATTTATGTACTTCCTATAAATGTATACTCAAATGCATTTTTTTCTCATTCTAAACAAGGGGGCTTATGGATTTTTTTTTTCCCCCACATGATAAAGGCTAAATTCAGCTCTTAGCTCAAACAGGAATAGCAGTTTAAAAAAAGAAGGTAACGCGAACTAAAGGATGTAAAAATTGATGTTACTTACTGGTAATTCCTTGGCTAGCTTTATTACCATGTTTTCGAGATATTCTGGCAAACTTTTAAACTGCTGGTTGGTTGGCTGAAAGAAGTGAGGGCTTCTCCGTGCTAATAGTCTCAGGGCTCTCCAACCATAATTAGAATTGTTCACAGCCCTATAAAGAGAGATGTCAGTCTTGTAATTTATACTTCTTTATTTCTATATTCCCTTCTAGTTAATGTAGTTCACCAGGCAAATTTCTATACTCCCAGGTCAGTAGCTGAAGGCACCATTCTTCTCATTCTGAGCACAGCCCTAAAGAACCTCTCAGTGAGCAGTTCACTTATAAATGGAAACCAACAGAGTCCAAAGAGGCAGGTTCATATGCAGCAAACAGTTTTTAAATTTTAAAAGTTTACATACATTTTAAGTTAAGTCAATTAGTATGTGTCCAGGACTGGCTAGATGCTGTGTGTGCAGGACAGATCACCCCTCTGGTAATTTAGAGAGAAAAATACTCATAGGTTCACTATGTTCAGTTGACTTGATATCCAAACGGGCAATGCCATCTGCAGGTGTGAGTTTCAGAATATTTTATAAACCCAACAGTTTTCATCATGTTAATTTAATTAATCTGTTTAATTTATATAACATCTAAAGTTTAATTTGCTGAATATCAACCTCAGTGAATAAAAAGGACTCCAAAACTAAAAGGGACACATCCAGTAGCCAACACCATAAGCAGTGATACCAAGAACAGAATCCAAACTGTTCCTTAATTTAGGTGGTACACAGTAAGGTAAGAAAAACCTGAGAAACTCTATAATGTTTTGGAAACAGGCAAGCTACAGAGAATCCCGAGGACAGATTTGTTCCACTTAAGAGTTTCTGTAAGTGACTTGGAAGTCCCCACAAGTTCTTAGAGTAGCAATCTAGTTTATTAGTCACTGCTCATAAATGAGCCTCATTACCTCTGACACAATCTTGGCACCTGAAAAACTACCGCTAGGCAGTGCGTGGTTCAATGTGAACCATCTTATTTAATGCTCGGAATAACCCTGTGAGATGGGTACTATTTAACAGATAACGAAAGAAAGCAAAGAAGGGTTTAAATTAGCCCTTAGAAGCCTAGCCAGTAAGTCGTAGAGTCCCAGGACTGACCTAGGCAGGCTGATGAGAGGGCCCTTGCCCTCAGATCACGATGCCATAATGCCTATTTAAAACCACGGGGCTGTGTGGTGTCACCTGGAAGATACAGCTAAGACTGACTCCTGAAGTTACTACAAAATTTGAGTTAGATGGAGAGCCAGCAATGGAGACTAAGACAGTGAGGCAAAGGGAAAAACAGGACGAGAGTGCAGTTAGATGGGTGTCAAGGGAAGAAAACATTATCTAAGCAGGGAGAGATCAACTGGAGAATGCTGCTGAGGTCAAAAAATGATCAGAGCTATTTCAGTGGAGTGATGGGGAGACAGGCATGGGCTGACCAGAGAACAGGAGCTGAGGAAATGAAGGCAGTAATTGTCAGCCACTGTT